CGGCGATTATGCGCCATATGCGTGAACTAGTCATCCCCGGCGCAACGTGGCGTGACGACAACTCAACCGACGCATGCGAGAATAGGCTGTGCCGCAAGAAGTTCTCAATGCTTTTTAGCAAACACCACTGCCGCTGGTGTGGCAGAATTTTTTGCAGCGATTGCGCCCCACTCACTGCACTCTACCATGGGGAATTGTTGCGTCGCTGCAACGCATGTCGTTTGCCGTTTATTTTCCGTAGCATTTACGATCCCCTGTCGGGTCGGCGGGACGGGGCCATAGCGGAATTTATCTTTTCTTTCCTTGACAGCACTTCCCTCAATGCGTTCCTGCAGTCGTGCCACACGGCTCTTTCGGAATTTCATGTTAGCGGCTACGAATATTATGAATGCATACATGAGAGATTTCCCTCCTTTTTTGAAGGCGCACGCATTGGAAAGGGGGTCACCGGTACCGTGTACAAGTGTGAGGATCGCAGTCGGTTTGAAAATCCACGCGTTGCACTCAAAGTTATTACGAAAAGTTCAACCGTAACAATCACAGCCTGGCGAAAAATTACGACCGAGCTTGAGATTTTGAAGGAGATTGACCACCCGAATGTGGCACGCCTTCTAGAGGTGTTTCAGACCCCGCTGTGTCTCGTTATTGTGATGGAGGCTGGTGATGGGGGTGCACTGAAGCAAGTATGGGAGTTTGTGAGGACTCGTCACTGCGATTTAGAGGTTTTTACCGCCAGTGTTGTGGCGCAAATAGCGGAGGGTCTGGATTACCTTTACCGCGTCAAGCACATTGTTCACCGGGACATTAAACACGACAATATTATTTTTTCCCGTGATTTTAGTAAGGTGATGATCATTGATTTTGGTCTTGCAGAGTACATTAAAAACGAGAAGTGTCAGTTGTTTGTGCCATGTGGTACGTATGGGTTTGCGTCGCCGGAGAATATTCTGGCAGTGGTGGATCATTTACAACTTTTTGAGGCCTCAGGCGCCACCATGCACCGTGCGGATATGTTTAGTTTAGGTGTTGTAGCGTACATGCTTCTCTCGGGTGTGCGGCCTTTGCGGGGCAGACGTTTTTTAGATCTCTACAGAGAAGTGCGAGGGGGTATTCGCTGTGTGGGACCCTGCTGGACTAATATATCCGATAGTGCCAAGTCACTTGTGGAGTGGCTGCTCAAGACCAGCACGAATGAACGAGCGACGCCAGAGGACGTACGAAACCACCCGTTTATTGTTAATAAGGCATCACTCATCACGGAGATTGTTAAGAAACGTAAGCAGGAGCTTCTCATCACAGAGCAGTTGGAGGGCAACGAGTGGGTATACGTTGTGCCATCCGATCGTCATTGGGACCCTTCAGGGGACGAGGACGTGCCAATGGTGAATAAACGTAATGGTCGTTTTGGATCGAACACGCATTTGTGGTTTGGGATTGGCCGGGACAACAAGAAAGGAAGCAACAATGTCGAGAAGTATGCAATGATAAGAAAGTAAGTAAATTGCAGACATTTATTTGTTACAAAAGGCTTGTGTGCTCATCATCCATGCATGTTTACCGGTTTGTTCTGCAGAGTCTCCGAATTGCGGTCATTCATGACCATGAAGATTGAGCTCACGCTGCTTCAGGTGGTCGTGGGTGATTGTTGTTGTTTCTTTATTTATTATTATTTTTTTTTACATTTGTGTGTTGTGTGCCTTCTCACTTTTACCGCTCATGCGTTTTTTTCTTTTTTTTGCTTTTATTTATTTATTTATTTATTTTCTTTTTTGCGTTTCACCACTTCCTGCTGTTGCCAATGCCGTTGGGAGGAAGTGGACGTTTTTGCGAAGGCGATTGTGCCGGCACGCGAGAGGGAGCAGCGACGACGACGTGAGTGATGGACACGGCGGTGCTGGCGCAGTCCATACTTGAGTGCGATGACGGGGCGGTGCTGCAGGTGTTGTCCCTCGCGCCCGGGCTGCCGCCCGTCACTGCCGAGACGCCCATTGCGGAGGCACGACGAAATTACATGCGCCTCGCCGGGATGGTGCACCCCGACAAACTGAAGGGCCGCTTCGAGAGGTCGACGGAGGCGTTCCAGAAGTTGGTGCGCGCCTTCGAGCTGGTGGCGGACCCGAAGTACCGCAAGAAGCTTCTTGCCCTCCACGCGAAGGAGGAGAGGAAAAAGAAGTCCGTCAAGAAGGAGCAGCCACAACTGCAGCTGGAAGGAACACAGCGCGTGAAGCAAATAACTGCCTCGAAAGGCACGGCGGCGGTGCTGCCGTCGACTGGCGCCTCCGACGTGAAGCCGAAGCGAGCCGCGACAAAAAAGCAGAAGAAAAAACAAAGACGCGCTTCTAAAGTCCAAGGCGACGACTTTATTGACTACGACGACGAGGAAGAACTGGAGGACGAGGACGAGGACGAGGAGGAGGAGGAGGAGGAGGAGAAGGAGGATGAGAGCGCCGATCACGATGAAGAAGATATGGATCTCGATTTTGGGGACGCAGAACCCATCGTGTCTACGAGCCGCACGCTTATAGGCACCAAACGCACTGGCGGCATTTACCGCGACACGACAGTTAGCTGCCCACAGTGCCGAACACCCTGGATGCCCGACTCTAAGCAGCACTACACACTTTTCATGGGGCCGTGCGGCAAAAAAGTGCACTGCGAGACGTGTCTTTGCCGATTTGGCTGTGCCACGGCGTTGCATGCCTGCCCACACTGCCAACACAGCTTCCACTATGACGCTACCATGTACGATACCGTCATGGAGTGCAGTGGATGCCACAAGACTTTTGGGTTCCCATACTATCCGGTGAACCAATACCTTATTGATCAGGTGAGGCTTGAGGAGTGGCGCGAGCGGACAGAAAGAGAAAAGGCCCATGAGCGTGAAGAAAGGGCGGCACGACGACGAATTACAGACGAGGGCACATCGGACGATTTCCATAGTCTTGTTGGGACTTGCATTGTGAATGAAACATGCCCAATCTGCAATCGAACAATCACCGCGCGGCACCGACAACACGTGGAGATGTGCTTGAAGAATAAAAACACAGGCAGCATCGCTTTGACAACAAAGACGACGAAGGCGGCGGCGAAAAAAACGGCACGCAAGCCGGCGGCCGTGGCAAAGAAAACCAGCACTCGCAAATCGGCCCCGAAACAGTCGAAGAAAGCAAAGAAACGCCGTCGTTCCGACGACAGTGACTCGGACGATGAAGAAGAGTTCTCTTCTAGTTCCTCGGAGGAGTAGAATAGGGGGGCGGTGATCGACGTGTACGGGATTGCAACGAGTACAACAGAGAAAAAAAAAAAGGGGGTGGAGGAAAGGAGAGAGAGGAACATTTAAAAATAAATAAATAAATCCACTTACAGAGGGAAGAAAACACCGTGTGAGGTTTTACAGGAAAAACAACAACAACAACAAATAATGCAGTGAATACATGAGGATTGTAGAATGCTCCTAAGATTGAGGAGTGGCATTGAATTGCTGCACTGCTGTACGGCGGCTCCCTGCATTTATTATTATTATTATTATTATTTCTTTTTGTTTCTTTGGATTACCGTCGTGTTTACTGCTTCCGGTAGTGGGCGGAGGAGGGGAAAAGAAAAAACAAAACAAAACAACAACAAAAAAAAAAAACAAATGCGTCCGCAATCAGGAGCCGTCTGTTATTTGTTGAGGACTAGTGACAAGAACGCCGTGACTTTTACAAGTGTTTTGGATATAAACAGGCAGAGACGCCTTTTTTTTGTGTGTGTGTTCTTGTGGTGGCGGCGCTTTAAAAATAAACGGGGGTGCTGAAATTGAAGTGGACGCGGGGTGATGGTGAATCGTGCAGTCACCCCCCTCCTTTTTTTTTTTCTTCATTTTTTTTTTTTTTTATTGATTGACCGCAGCTGCATATTAACAGCCGCGAAGGCTTGTTTATATTTGAAAATGAAGAGGTGATGAGCATACAGTTTGCCAAATTAGCAGTTTTACATCCTCATGGTTTACCAAAGTTTTTGAGTGCTTTGGAGCGGGAAGGCCGGAAACACCAATGAGAGCGGCATATTGATTCCAGTGTGAGTGCAGAGGGGAGGGGGAGGAGGAACGCACCACACATGCACAAACGCATGCGATAAAATGCGAGTGAAATGGCGTATTCGATTTATCTGTTTTTTCTCTTCTGCGAATGGAATGTTGTGAAGGAACGCCATTAATTGCAATGGGAATAATGAGAAGGCGATGTACACACATCTCCATGCCGTTATATATATATATATATCTTATTCATTGTGGCAGCATGTGAATGTGTTTTTTGTTTTTGTTTTTCTTTTTGGTGTTCATGGCGCGGTTGTGTGTGTGTGTGGGACCCGTGCGCTCCCCTGGGTTCTTCAGTGTGTGGGTAAGTAACCCGTGAAGGAGCGGCGGATCTTGCCATGATGCCGATTCTATGTACTTTTTCTTTCTGCTTTACGTCCGCGTGGGTGTGTGTTTGTGTGCGTTTGTTTTATTATTTTTTTTTTATTTTTATTCTTTTTTTAAATGAAAAAAAAAAAATGTTTTGGTCCAAATGGACTTAACTCCCACAAGTAATGCGCCATGGGCAGGCGCCCGGTAGAGAAATTTAGTCGAGCTCTTCGTCGCCGGGCGCAGGTTTGTTTTGGGCAACGATTGCCAGCGGGCGTGATCTCATCGGCTGTTAAAACAGCAGCGACGGCGGCGGCGGCTGGAGACGGTGGCAGGAGCGTGGCTCATAGTCGTGACGCTGCGCGGGAGAATGCTGCGACTGGGGATGCAATTCACCCCACCAGCACGACGGCGACCACATTTTTTCCCTCAATTATGGGGGAGCGTGACGATGGGATCATTCATGCCAATTACTCTCTCCGCCGGGCGCTGGCCCGTGGTGCCCCCGAGACTCGGCTCACGCGGCAGGTGCGACACGCCATTGAACACTCTACCGGGAAGGCGGAGGCACTAAAAGCCTTTCAGGTGTTGCTGCAGGCGGATGGGGAGGGGCCCACAGCGGCGACGTTTAAGACGCTTTCAGCCACGCTGCTACAACATCATGTGGAGCAACGAGTGGGCCAAGCTGGGTTTCAGAGGGCATTGATGGATGCTGTGGGGTATGAAGGCGATCGGTGGCAGAGTCTCTCCGAGGAGGAGCGTTCGACCTTTGTGAATTACACATGTCGAATGACGGAGCGGTGGGCAGAACGTGGCTCATCGTACAACAAACTTTTGGGTTTTTCACAAGAGGGCGCTGACAATGAAATTGTGGCAAGAGTGGAATACCAAATGCGGAAGTGTGGCGTAATGGTCTTAGCTTCCTCACTGGCAGATCTGATGCACCTTGACATTACATGGTCAACGGCTTTGCATTTGTTTAACTTTGCTGAGGAATTGCAAAAAGATATTCCACCTCCAATGGAGATGACAGATCGTCTTATGGGTCTTATGACAGGCTACAAGAGTGGACTTGGTGGCTCACGTCCCTGGATGCGAGCGTTGGAATTGTATCAAAGGGCTCTGGTGTCGGGCTATGACACTACACTAACAACGCATACGCACGCATTAGATGCGTTGTGGCGAAGTGCGGATAATTTTCATCGTGTACACACGTCTCTTAGTTCTTATCATCGACGATGGGTGTGGGAAAAGGCCCTCAAGATTTCTCAAATTGTGCAAGACACGCCCCGGTTGCTTGTTACCGGTGAAGAGGGCTGCGCATATGCGGAGAGTGTCGTCAAAACTCTTACCGCCTCGGGTCGTTGGTCCGAGGCAATTTCATTTATTGCCAACCTTGATACTTCCAATAGTGATGTTTCTCTTCGTTTTCTTGTGCCCACCGCTGAGACGTATGTTTTTGCCATTGCGGGGTGCCACACGGCTGGTCACGCGGCACACGGTGAGGCTTTGTGGACCATCTTTAAGGAGACATACACGCTGCGCTCTCTCCACTCCGAGGCACTTTTAATTTTTCTTCAGTCTCTTCGTCATGTCGTTCGCACCTCACCCATTGTAGGACCGCTAGTGGAGGAATTGGTGAGGGATGGAAAAGGCCTTGAGCGTCAAGCCGCCGTGGCTTCGTTGCAGCTTCTTTCAAGTAACCACGTGAAGACAAGAGAGCAGCGGTGGGTGCTAGCCACAAAGTTACTTGATATGTACGATGCAAACCCCTGGCCACAGCAACCCCTGGCACGAAAAACAGAACTACAAACTGTATTTCGATGCTGTCACTTGATTTCTGCCATGGAGTGTCCACACGGAAAGCGTTTACTTACGAAGCTAAGGAAGCAGCTGGTGGATGTCTTTGGCAGCCTTTCTGCGGAGGTGGAATGGCTAGATGACACCTCCATTTATGCGTTGCAGATGACATCCAACTGGGAGGAAGCAATCTCAATTTATGAACAAGCTGTCGGTCGAAGAAAACCCAAGCAGGTGCCTTATCTACCGATTCCCTTGCGCCAGGCGAAGATGATGCTGGTAGAGGCACTTGTCCGGTCTTGCAGGGTGATGGAGGAAGACGGTGAGTCATTTCTAGTAGACGAGGATACACAAGAGGCTGGCCGCGATGCTGCTGTGGTATTGACAGAGCGAGCGCTTGCCGTGACGAGGGCCGTGTATGGGTCGGACGACACGTTCCCACATCATTTGTACGCCGAGTTGCTTGTGGTACAGGCAACGTGTGCCGCTAGTAGTAGTCAGCGGAAGTTGCATGCGCTTGCGGCAATGCGACATTTTTCTCAGGCTTCAGCTGAGTTGATTGGGCGCCACCTCGTGTCGCAAACAGCCATGGCATTGTCTCTTACGGAGGTGCATGTGGAGAATGCACTTCTAGCGGGGCATGCCACCCTGCGGTATGCGACGCTTTCGCAGCGTAAAGGCAATCGTAAAGCAGCAAAGATCCGCAGTGGCCTTGAGGCTTTGGTGTGGTAGTACAAGAAGGAGGCATCGGAAAGAATTTTACTCTCATTTGTAATGAGCCCTTTGATTTTTGAAGAAGTACTTTCTTTTGTACGGCAAACCGGTTTCCATAAACTTTTAAACGTTGAATTTATCCAGCCCCTTCCTTTAATATTTTATTACCGGTTACTGCCGCTTGCGTTCCGTCAGGATGTGCGCAGTGCGGTCAGTCTCTTTACTTGACGGCATGTGTGTGTGTGTATGTATATATGTGTGTATTGAATTGGACTTTTGTTGAGTTGTTGTTGACGTCATTGCCTTTTCTTTTTTTTTTCTTTTTTTTTTTTTTCTTTTCCCTTCCCTCCCTTTTAACGTCAACCCCAACCTTCCTCCCTCCTGCAGATTGTTATCTGCAAGTTTATTTATTGTAGGGTTTATCACGCATACATTTCAGTTGAGCACTATTGCAACTTTAAGGGAGAAGGTAGATAGATTGAAAGAGAGAGGAAGAAAGGGAGAGACTAGCGGGGAGTGAATTGACGGTTCAATTTGACACGGCTGCATACATACATACTTACACACACACACACAGGAATGCCTGCTGTTGACGTTGAGATTCACTTTCCGCTTAAGCGCATTGCCGCGGAGGGGTACGCCGAGGATGAGTTGCTTCTCAACCAAATGGGGAAGGTGAACGACACGCCGGAGGAGGAGGGCATGCCGCTGCGAGCGTGGGTGATTAAATGTGCGCATGAGGCGCTGGAGAAGAATCCAAAAATTCGTGAGGTTTATCTGAAGCCAAGGGCGGTGAAAAACAGCAGCGTTCAATTCCACGTCATCTTTGACGAGGAGTGAAGCGAACAAACAAACAAAATAAAATAAAAGGGGAAAAAAAAGGAAAAATGAAAAAAAAGGGGCGAAGATAAGAACGTAGAAGGAAATATGGCAATAAACAGGGACAATCATATATATATATATATACCTATCTCTTTTATTATTATTCTTTTTTTTTTGGGGGGGGGGGGTGGGGGTGGGGGGTTTGCATGGGTTATTTTTTCTCTTTTCTATTGGTGAGGGGAAGGGAAAGGGGGGGAAAGAGAGGGAGAGAGAGAAATTAAAAAATGGTGTTCCCCTCTCAGGACAAATACATAAATATATTTAAATTTATTTATTTAGTTTTATATTTATAAATGTATGTTTCTCCCTTTTTGTCTGTTTGTCTGTTTGCATGCGCAGGCGGCTTGTGGGCTAGGGGGTGGGGTGGAGGCAAATACACAAATACACCAGAGAAAGAGAGAGAGAGGCGCACAGACTCCGGTTAGTTTTTCCATTACTTTGAGTATTTGTGCTTTTTGTGTGGCTGCAATGGCCCCTGCAAGCATTCCAGGCGAGGCGACGGTGGTGTTTCTGCTGCGCGAGTACGTCATCCCGATTGTTGTATTTGTCATGATGGTAGCGTGGCTGCTGCGCAACGTCGTTTTGCCCATTTGCTCAGGCAACGTTGTATTTACACGCAACGTGCCGCCGTTTCAAGGCGATGCTTCTTTGCCAGAGGCAGGGCGGATGCATATTGCAGAAGTTGCAGACACCGCCGTTGCGGCATGCGACCAAAAAGTGAAAGGCTCGTAGTGAAGACTGGAAAGAGAAGAATGATGCGAACATCTCTTTCTTTTTTTTTGTTTTCTTTTGTGTGTGTGTGCGTGTGTGTGTGTGTTGTTTTTGGTTGCTTTTTGTGGGTTACCTTTTTTTTTTTTTTTTTCCCTAATGTCATTTCTTTAGTCCTTCCTAGTAAAGAACGGTGTGCACGCTTCTCTCTGTGTTACCACACACACACACACACACAGACAAAGAGACACACAAAGAGGGACAGACAGACAGACAGACAGACAGAGTGTTACGTACATACAAATAGAAAAATATAGATAAGTATATATATATATACTTATAGAGACATTTATACAGTTAGTGACACGTGACGGAGCGAGGCGGGTGAAAAAGGAAAAACAAAAACAAAAACAAAAACAGGACAAACCAACAAAAAAAGAAGAAGAAGAAAAAAAGAGAGATAAAGGTTTATAATGTCTTTTTTGCCCATTCGTGTCTGCGTACTGGTCTGTTCCTACGAAGGATCGGATAGTGAACTGAAGGAATATGAGGGCGAAATTGTACAGACACCGCAGCATTACTTTACGGAGGAGGATTCGAAGGAATTTGTTTTTACTCTTGAATTTGTGAAGAAGGCGACTGCATACCGTCAAATACGTCAGTTAGTGAAGTCTGGGGCCTTTGATGTCTTTTACAACCAGTGCGATGGGGCCATTGATGAGGATAAGGCCGGTGTGGAAGTGGTGCAGGCACTTGAGAGCTTTAAAGTTCCGTTCACCGGGGCTATCTCCAAATACTATGAGTTGTCTAAACCGGAAATGAAGCGAATGGCACACTACTGCGCTGTAAAAACAGCCCCATATGCCGTTTTGGAGGCCGGTGATAATGTGCGGGAGTTGTGCGCCGCCCTGCATTTCCCGTTGATTGTTAAGCACATCTCTGGCTACAGCAGCGTGGGGATGGACAAGTCTTGCAAGGTGTATGACATGGATGCGTTGAAGGAACGGGTGGCTCGCTTTATTGATCAGTACCAGAGTGCTCTTGTGGAGGAGTTTATTTCCGGCGATGAGGCGACCGTGTTGGTGTGCGCTGACGCCTCACAACCTGGTGGAATTCGTGTGTTTCCACCAGTTATGGTGCAATTTCCGGAAGGTGAGGACTTCAAACACTTCCATCTTAAATGGGAAACATATGAGGGAATGATCTGGCGTCTTGTCTCTGAGGACGATCCCGCGTTGCCGGATATAATTCACATTGCGAGAACCGCATTTCTTCACATGATGGGGGGTGTGGGGTACGGCCGCGTGGATGTTCGTATTGATCGTGAAAAGAACACGGTTGTTTTTCTTGAAATCAATCCTAACTGTGGCATCATGTATCCATATGGACAAGAGGGCTCGGCGGATTGGATCTTGCGTCTTACGCCGGAGTTTAAACAAAAGGAATTTGCAAAACTCCAAATAAGTGAAGCCATTCGAATACATAAGTGCAAGCAGCCGCTCTTTCGATGTGCCTATGATCCGGTACGGGAGTATTACATTTGTGCCACAAGGGATATACCCGCAGGCAGCATTATTTTTGAGGGCGAGGGCCGGTTGGTACGTTTATGCACTAAACCGTACGTAAAGGCAAATTGGAGCGAGGTGGAGTACAATGAATTTCTCCATGATGCCTGGCCCGTGGGTGCGGAGGGTCATTACTATGCCCTGTGGGATCTTGAATCGTCGGATTGGCGTGCGGTGAATCATTCCTGTGATCCAAATATGGGGTTTTGTCCGAATCGCTCACTTAATGTTCATGCTTTACGTGATATCGCGAAGGGTGAAGAACTCACGATGGATTGTCGCCTTTTCATGGATGACACAATGCCACCCTTTCAGTGTCACTGCAAGACATCTATTTGTGCAGGATGGATCCGAGGGGGTGTGATGAGAGAAAGTCATTTCTTTGAATCTTACACGGAGAGGTTGATCCACCGGGAGGACAAATTTATTACACAACTGACGAGGAATTGAAGTGAGGGAATTATTATTATTGTTATTATTTTTGCGGCAATGCATTCAGCTGGGTGGGACGCTGTTGAACGTCCTTCATGCCGGTTTTTTCTTTTTTTTTTTTTTTTTTCTTTTGCTCTTTGAGGGAAGGAGGGCGGATGGTGAACAAATCAAACGGAATACTCATAGAAAATTAATACGCACACACAAAATAAGAGAGGGGAAAAGAAGGGAATATTACCGAGAATTCAACGGCAACCACACGACGGGAAGGAATAAAGCGGTTTTATATGAGTTGGGCACTGACGCCCACCGCTAAAACGTAGTTATTTATTTATTTATTTATTTATTTTGCCTTGCTTTGGATGAATTTTGAGCCTATTGGCGTTGTTGTTGTTTTCTTTGGGTTTTTTTCTTTTCTTCTTCTTTTCTGTGGTGCCGGATACATCCTTGTCTGCGTCCTGTTCCCTTTCCCCCGTGTGCAAATACGTGTTATTTGAGAAATGTTTTTTTTTTTTTTTTTTTTTTCCCCCCCTTCTGTCGGGAGTATTTTTATTTCTTGTGGAGTGGGGGGGGGGGGAAGAGGAAAAAAGAGGGGTTTGTAGGAAAAAAAAAAAAAATAAAATAAAATAAAAATAAAAAACGAGGATTTACATGGGGAATGCGGGATATTTAAATGAATAAAATGTCTTGATGGGACGAATATATTTCTTTACGATTTTTTTCCTCTTTTTTCTTTTTTTTTCCTTTTATGATTATTATGACTTATCGGATGACCGCGATGGACGCAATCAATGGGCCGACATCGATGTGAAGAAGTTATTTATTTTGATTTTTTGTTCATTCCTCGCTATCCCAGCAACCCTCTTTTTTTTTGATTTCCCACCACACGGCGGTGTCTTGTGGCTGGAGGACCCCGAAGTCTGCCACTTCGCAAGCCATGGTGTTTCTAACCCCAACAACGTGCAGCGTGCCACGAGAGTGGCAGTCCGAATATGTATATAAATGTAATGTATGTGGTTGGAGCAAGCACTGAGTGGATTGCAAACCCACTGCCCCTCCGTTTGCCCTTTTCTCCCGTCTTGCTTGGTTTCTTTAGACAAGTTGAGGGTCCGGCGAGCGGTCCAGGCGAATACATATTTATTTATTTCGCTTCGTTATTTATTTTGGCTTCTGTTGAGGCTGCGGTGTTTGGAGGCGCATGCAGGTCTGGGCCGAAATTTACTTCTTTCCTTCAACTGTTGTGTGCACTCTTTTTTTCTCCGTGAATGGCTAAACACCATCGTCCGATTGTGTGTGTGATTGCTGGAGACCCTCTCACTTCGCCGGAGGCTTTGTTGCAGCACCTTCGTGCATGCTGGCGTCGTGTGGGTGTACTGGAACTCTGCGAGGATGTGCACAAACTATCACTGAGGCATATATGCCGGGATGTAAATGATGAGGGATTGAAGGAAAATGAAACGGCGCTACTGCACATCACATTTGAGCTTCTGACATCACCACCACAGACGCTTGTTACTGGGGTTGATATCCTGCTGCTTCTCTTTTCCCCGGCGCATCCCTTGTCGTTTTTGCACCTATGGGAAGTGTGGTGGCCAATGTTTCTCCACCTGCGGCGATTGCCAATTTTCCTTTTAGCAACGCACATGGAGCTGCTTGTTATGCCGGACGTTCAGCGCTACATGCACGAGCGTGGCATCCAGCCAATTAACTTGCAGGAATTAACATGTGCGGTGCAGGCAACAACGTTGTCTTTGGGGCGTGTGATTCCTGTTTCATTGGGCGATGCGGACCTTTTACATGCAAATACACTCAATTCGTCGTGTAAATCTCTTGTTTATCTTTGCAACTCGCTCATGCGCATTTTTTGTGCCACACCGGGCGATGGTCATGATGACGCTCTACCACTTCAACTGCGGTGGGAGGCGACACTTAATGAGGCGAGTGCGGTTCAGCTGGAGGCACAACTTCGCGAGAAATGGGTGGCGATGCCGTCCGCCAGAACAGGGCGTATTTTTTACTCCAATCGGATTACAGGTGAGGTGACAACCGTACAGCCCGCGATTGTTCCAAATGACACAAGCGAAACCTTTGAGCAGCGCCGCGCCGTTGCCTTCGCCGCACAAGTAAGGGGCCATAAGAAGGCATCCAACTTGGGATCGTCGCACGGCGCAACTGTTCACACGGATGTTATGAAAAAACTGCAGTATTCTGTGAGACTACTGTACGACAAGAGAGCACGTCTCAAAGAACTTCAACAGAAGACTCATCTCTTACGTTCCGTCGTGCAAAAGTTACGGGAAGAGACAGGGAGTCTTTCTTCCGATTTGGAGACATTACGGAGTGAAAGGGCGTCGCTGGAGGAGAAGATTAGCATCACACAACAGGAGTTCCAGTCCTTTCAAACCAAATGCGAACTCACCGGATCCGTTACGGAATCGCATCTTGCGTCACTTTATGAGGAAATCAACCACGTCAAGCGGAGTTATCTTCAACAGTGGAATTGCAATAAATTAAGACGGTCCGACGTGCGAGCGATGCATCTAAGAGTAGAGGAGGTTATAAATACAAATGAGAGACTGCGGCAACAAATAACAGAGGGTTCAGAAAGGACGTTAAGACTACTGCAGAAACAGTACCTCATGCACCACAATGAAATTGCTGAAATAGAAGAAAAAAGCCTGTTGTTCCGGCGTTGGCAGGCCCTACGGGGGCGTGAGCGAGGGGAGGAGCCACCTAATGGTGGAGGTTCGTCCTGTTGCGTGGGGGACGCTCCGACGGAGTGGGTATTGCTGCTGCGTGGTCTTTTGAACGCTCTGTTGGTCGTAGTGGAGCCACTTCTTTGCGCGATTGATAGGCTGCAGCAGATGAGCGGAAGACTTCCCGCTCCGTGCAGCGTCACTGTGCAAGCAACACATGCTATGCGGCGTTTGCTGCTGGAGGAGCGACTGCAGCGTTGGCGGATTGGGGTGGAGTGCACGCTGGATTACGCGAGTTGCATTGTCAGCGACTTTCTGCTGCCGATGCAGCGCCGCGGCCGCCTGCTGGGCGAACACGCGGCTGCCTTGCTGAGGCTGTTCTCGTGACATGATATCTGCGGTCGCCGCGACAGTGTCTTTTTTCCCTTTTCTTTATCGCTCTTCTTTTTTTTCCATTGCTGCTACCTTTTTCCCGTGAGTCTTTGCCTGCACGGACCGTCCTCTCCCGTCGTTGCCAGTTTCTTCGTTAGTTTTTGCCACACACTTTAGGCGTGCTTATTGACTTATCTGAAGAAGAGCAAACACGTAGAAGAGGGAGTATTTGTCGCCACGGGACGCAAGGGCACATACACAGAAGCATATACATATCTATACATATATAGAGTGTGTGGGGAAGTGTCGGATGGAGAGGCTGCGTGAGCGGTGCATACTGGGGCGAGAGGTGGTGATCTCCAAGCTGCTTGGAGCTGGGGCGAACGGCCGCGTGTACCTTGCCGCTCCTGTGAGCCAGTCGAATGAGTCGAATCAGTTCTCGTACCCGCCTCACTTTG